CCCTTACCGCTCTGCCACGACAATGATGACTTTGAACCTAGAAGGCTGTATCTGGATCCTTTTGAAAGCGACCCTAGCAGCTCTGAGCTTGCAACCTTTGTCGGACAGCTGGTCTTCCGCTTTCCTCAAGCGAAAATCCTAGAGCTCAATGCAGGGAGTGGATTAACGGCAAGATCCGTTCTCAATAAGATTGGCAGCTCTTACCAATCATACACCATCACTGACACATCAGCGATTCGGCTCTCAGAGGCATATGAGACGTTCGCCGGCGACAATAACACCAAACTGATCTTGCAACGACTTGATGTTGAAGAGAGCTTGCTTGAACAAGGCTTTGAGAATGAGAGATATGATATAATTATTGCTGCTAACTCTCTGTCCCAATCACAGAGGCTTCGTGAGACTATGGTGAATATCCGGCGCTTGCTCAAACCTGGTGGTTATCTAGTTGCGCGGGAAGGAACTAACCTCGATATCAGTCGTGTTATGCTGGCAAATTGTGGCACTGCAAAGTGGTGGCAAGATGACGACAGCGTTCGCCAGTGGAGTCCAATTTTAAGTATCCAGCATTGGGAGAAGCTGCTTCAGCAGACTGGTTTTGGTGGTTTTGAAGCAATCTCACCTGCCAGTGAACTTGTGTTCAATTCGACATTTGTCTCGCAAGCTACCGATGAGGCAATCATGCTTCAGCGTAATCCATGGACGTTCTCAGGCCGCCTTGACAACGGTGTTTGGATTGTTGGGGGTGCAACAAACGCGACTGCGAGTCTTGTATCAGGGCTCGAGGCGCTTCTGGCTCGCTTTTTCTCTCGTGTGGTCATTGCATCGACACTAGAGGTGCTGGATCAGCAAGACCTATCCAAATCACACGTCCTAGTCTTGACGGATCTCGATTGTCCTTGCTATGAAGTCTTCACAGAAGAGCGTCTGGGTGGACTCAAGGCGCTAATGAACCATGCCAGCAGGCTTCTCTGGATAACTGCCGGACACGAGAGCCAAGATCCATACTGGGCGATGGCTAAAGGCATTATAAACTGCGTTGCATACGAGAACCCGCAGCTCCTCTGTCAATACCTGAATGTTCCTGATCGAGCTGAGATTACTGCACCGGGACTGGCTACGATCTTCTTGCGACTGTCTCATACCACAGGAGACAATGACTTCACGTTATCAGATCGTGTGCATAGCATTGAGCCGGAGCTAAGGCTCGTCAATGGCACGTTGCAGATTCCGCGACTTAATCTTAGCGACGCACTGAATAATCGGTACATAGCTGGTCGGCGCAGACTAAACGGGTATGCCAATTTGCATCAATCAGTGGTGCATATCATTCCACCTTCAAATCGGCGTCGAGAATTTGCTTTGTCTGAAAGAGCAGGCAGCAAGGGTGACGACTGTCGAGGTACCTCTCATCAGCGCTGGCTTGATGCGAGCTATTCCACATTGAACGCTTATCATGTGGAAGGTGCTGGATATCTCTACTTGGTGATAGGCCGCGATACGAGTGACCGAACACGTTGGTTTGCCCTATCGTCGCAGCAAGCTTCGTTGATCTCTGTGCCTCTAAGTTATTGCTTTCGGATGCCGGAGCATCTCCCTGAAGCTGTGGAGCCCACATTTCTAAATAGGATGGCCGCAGCAATCATGGCCATTAGTGTACTGAGCTCTGGAATACCTAATATGTCAGTACTGATTCATGGGCTCGAATCGATGAGCAGATTGAAACAGGAAGCGTTCACGGCTCTGGGTGCTGTGCGACAGATGCAAGTCTATTTCAGTACTAGCGATTTTGTGATCTCACCGGAAAAGCACTCGTTGTTCATTCATAACAACGAATCAGTGCGTTCTCTCGCACGCATCTTACCTTCTGACCTGTCTGTCATTGCTGAGCTTGAAGAAGGCAAGCCTAACTTGTTCTCTCGAATTGCAGCGATTGTCTCAGAGGATGTTGCTCAAGTCAAGCTGACCAACGTATGTCGAAGGTCTTCAAGCATCACGAGGCTTAGCAATCCAGTCGCTGTGAGCCAGACGTTCCTGAGCGCATGTGGGTTTGCTTTGCAGGCAATGGAGGCAGACAAAGCGACTGATCTAATTTCTCTTCGTGACATCCACGGCATGCATACGGATCTTTCCCGTCAAGCAGTCGTGGATTGGACTGTGCATGATAAAATCCCAGTCGAAATTCAGACGGCAAGTTCGGCGGTAAGACTATCACCAGACAAAACATATCTCCTTGTTGGAATGACTGGAAGTCTGGGCCAATCGGTCTGTCGATGGATGGTTCATCGAGGTGCGCGGTGTGTTGTCATGAGCAGCAGATTCCCCAAGATTGATCCTCTGTGGATTGGGGAGATGGCGAGTTTGGGGGCTCGCGTAGTTCCATTTACAATGTCAGTTTCCTCCAACAATCTCGCGAATAGCTACTGACCAGATATTCTAGGGACGTCACGAGTCGCGTATCAGTGACTTCTGCATACGATACACTCTCTGCCCAGCTACTACCAATAGGGGGTGTCATTAATGGTGCAATGATCCTTAAGGACCAAATGTTCGCCAATATCAATCTTTCAGATTTTCAGTCAGTACTTAGCCCCAAGGTGCAAGGAAGCCTTCTTCTTGATGAGATATTCGGTCACCTTGATCTGGACTTCTTCATCCTCTTTGGGTCAGCCGCCGGACCGATGGGCAACATCGGCCAGGCGGCCTACTCAGCAGCTACCCACTTCATGTCTGCGCTTATCCAGCGGCGACGCAAGCAGAATCGAGTGGCAAGTATCATCCACCCGACATCGATTGAGGGAGTGGGCTATCTTGCCCGCGCAGATTCTGCTTTGCATGACATCCTTCAGAAAACAATGGGCAGTAGCAGCTCACAAATGTCTGAAAATGATCTGCATGAACTTATGGCGGAGGCAATTCTTGCGGGGCGGGTTGAAGCGGGCAGAAACGCAGATATCATCGCGGGGTTCGAGCTTGTGGATGCCGCCAAAAATTCTGACGCAATATGGTTCCGAAATCCAAGAGCGTGGGGCTTCATTGATCAGAGTGGACGCCCCTCTAGTGGAGCATGCGTCCGTAAGGACACTGTGGAGATGAAAGTACAGTTGACGGAAGCAAATAGCATCGATGACGCGATACAGATAATCACTACGGGCTTCATTGAGGAGGTTCGTTCGAGGCTGCGTCTCCCCGATGAGGAGTCCGTGACTCCTGGTAACGTGTTGAGCGAGATGGGGGTGGACTCGTTGATGGCCATTGGGTTGCGGCAATGGTTTGTGAAGGAGGTCGGGGTTGAACTCCCGATGCTACGATTTCTGGGCGGGTCGTCTATAGGGGAGCTGGCTGGTGTTGCTGCGGTACGACTTGCTGAAGACGGTGTCTTCAAGGGTGAGGATATTGATTTGGATAAGGGTGATGCGGTTGCTTTGACGTCGCAGACGGAGGAAGAGACGAGTCTGGTTGAATGGAGATCCTCTGAGTCCGGACTCAGCCTGTCCTTGTGATGGGTTTGGAGCTTATAGTCTTGTCGTAACCCTCGAGGCATGATGTACAGTACATAGTATTTCACGCAATTGGTTGTGGATTTGCCTTGTGCTGTCTAGCACCGTTCTAATGGCATAATATCACGCTGAGCATAGTACCGCCCATTATAAGTAAGAGTCGAGATCCTTAACCACCGCAACACCTAATATACACAATGCCCTAATTCCACAACAAGAAACCTTCAGACACCCCCTTCCCACCTCACAGCATGCTTAATCTCCGCCCCCTCCATAAATTCCTTAATCCTCACAAACTCCTTAAAGCCCTCCGTCTCCGCAAACGCAAAATGCCTCTCAACAGCCTCCCACCCACTGAACAGAACAAACTCCGCTGTCCCCTCGTCGGTGTCTGCATTCCCCCCATCCTCCCCTTCACCCCCAGCAACCCACCCGCCCACCAGCGAATACGGGGCCGTAAACGCCTCAAGATGGGCTTTGCTCGCCTCAAACGTCCGCTGGAATTCGGCGCGTTGGCCGCGTCGGATGAGATACCGACCTATCGCGAGGACGGGGGCGGTCAGTGGGAGGGTTTGGGCTGGGAGATCGAGGTCGATTCTGTGGGTGGATCTGTGGGTGATACCGATTGTAGCTTGGGTTGTGGTGGTGGTGGTGGTGGGAAGTTTGGTGGTGGGGTCCTCATGGAGGAGGTAGATGTTGTTTGGGTCTTCGAGTTGGATGTAGATGTTGATGTTGATTGTTTGGGGGTGGGCGCGAAGAGGGAGGGATTTTAGGAGTGTGGTTGAGGTTGAGGCTGGAGGGAGGGGAGTGGAGAGGTGTAGCTGGGTTAGGTTTATGGTTGGCATTTTGGGGGGGGATTGTAGTGTGAGTTGGGTATGGTATGGGTATGGGTATGGATGAGAGAGAGGGTGGGAGGGGGAATTGGGGGCTTTTATGCTAAGTATTTGCGTTTCAAGTTGAGAGGATGAAGTACTAAAACTGAGGTAGTATAGGATCCATCAGGCTAACTCAATTATGGTGGGTCTCATACTTTTAAGCTGAGTTGAGCTGACTGATTGAGCTGGAGGATGATACCAATTTCCTAGTTGGGTTGCGCTATACTCCCAGCAACTCTTCATAAGAACTAAAAACTATGGAATCATAACTAACTTAGGCCGTGGATAGTGACTCAGCAGGACCATAAATAGCCTCCCCACTCCCGGCATAATCCCCCACTAAGCCCAATCGAGCGGATCCCTACCCCTGCAGTGCGAAATGGAACGATGATGGCAACCTCATCTGACGCCATACTGCAACTTTCCCTTCATCAACATCAACCTCAACCTCAACCTCAACCTTAAGCAAGCCTACGATCCCCCAAATAAACCATGGCGCCCGAACCCCGAACCTACGTGTCCGGCGGCCGCGTCCTCGGAAGGTAACCACCACGATATCCCATGCCATGCCATGCCATGCCAGGGCCCGAAGCACCAAGCACCGTGCTAATCTCCGTCCCCTCCGTCTAGCCCCCCACTCTCCGTCCGAGTCAGTCGGTTCTTCGAGAGTGTGTATGTGTTTCTGGGTCTGTATCTCGTGAGCTTGTTCTCGGTGAGTCATACACTCTTCTTGGTTATAGGTCTGCGTCTCGTGTGGTTAGGTGGTTGTGAGGGTTGCTTGCTGCCTTTCCGCTGCTATTTATGCAGACTTGTGTTGTGGCGTTGAAATTAACTGATATTCATGGGTTTTGCGAAATATAGCTCGATCCCTACGCCGCGGCGCAGAATTCGCAGTTCAATATCCATCGGAAGGGGAATAGCTCGGGGTCTAGGTCGCGATGGGGGCTTTTTGGGGGTGGTGGTGGTGGCGGTGGCGGTGGTGGTCCAGGGGGAGGCCCGAGGGGATTTGGGCCGAGGAAGATTGGTCGAGTGGATGATGTTCGTGGGCCGGAGTGTAAGAGCTGTGGATAGAGGGTGTTTTATGCAGGGGATAGGTTTATGCGGGTGTGGGGAGTTTGATATTAGCATTGGGTGTACCAATTTGATTATTGTTTCCTTGACGATTTGGACTTTGGCGTGGGGTAGATACTGGATGATGTGAGGATGTTGAGTAGATCTATGGACCTGGATCGAAGACATGGGATGGCGGTTTGATATTGATATCAACATCACGTGGAGATTTCTCCGCAAACAATCCAACCCCTCCCCGCCCCCGCAATTCCACTCTTTCTATCCATGATGTGTATGTTCCATTCCACTTGTTTACACCACCAACAGTCACCAGTGGAATCTGTATAGTACTTACTCCCTCCCATTCCCCAAACTCACACTCAGCATCAAATTAACAAGCACAGCATCCATCTCCAACCCAACCCACATTCTCAACCCTCACCACTACCACCACCACCACAACCAAATCAAACATAACCATGCCCCCCGCAACCCCCCCAACCGACTCCGACTGGAAAGCCCTCATCACCACAACCCTCCAACAGCTCCAATCCACCACCACCACCAGCTTCCCAACCCACCCGCTCCCCGCGCACCCCAGCCTCACAATCGACCACACCCAACTGTCCCCGACCGCCAGCCCCACGCAAATCGACACCCTCTGCACCGAAGCCCAACGCCACCACTTCGCCACCGTCTGCGTGCGGCTGCCCTACGTCGCCCGCGCCGTGCAGAACCTGTCCGGCAGCAGTAGCAGCAGCAGCTCCCCCCAAACCACCCCAGACAAGCCCACGCCAACCCCCGGCATAGCCTGCGTAATCTCCTTCCCGCACGGCACGGACCCGACCGCTTCCAAGACGCACGAAGCCGCCTCCGCCGTCGCCGCCGGCGCCACCGAGCTGGACATGGTGCTGAACCGGCCCCTCCTGCAGGCGGGGGAATACACGGCCGTGTACGCGGACATCCGGGCCGTGCGGACGGCGATCCCGGCGGACGTGGTGCTGAAGGTCATCCTGGAGACGGGGCGGCTGGCGGGGACGGAGGAGGTGGTGGCGGGGAGTGTGGTTGCTTGTCTGGCGGGTGCGGATTATATCAAGACGAGTACGGGGTTTGATGGGCCCGGGGCGAGGGTGGAGGATGTGCGGGTGATGCGGTGGGTTGCGGGGAGGATGGGGACGGGGACGAGGGTCAAGGCTAGTGGTGGGGTGAGGGGGGCGGGGGACTGGAGGGCGATGGTGGAGGCCGGGGCGGAGAGGGTGGGGAGTAGTTCGGGGGTGGGGATTGTGGTGCAGTTGGCTGGGAATGAGGAGGAAAAAGAGGGGGAGGGGGGGTATTGAGATGATTTGGTTGTGGGAATTCGTGTTATGGTTGTTGCTGATATTCGAATTCTTGGGGTGTGGTTGTTACCCTGTCATCAGTTTGATATACCTATCTGCTTCTGGGGTGTTCTCATACAAATCCATTCAGGCTGCATACAGCTACATATTCAAACGGTATAAACAACTCGTCGTAAATCAAATAAGCTAAAAACAGAGTCGTCGCTGAGATACATATGGAACAATCAGCACATGCAGGAAATCCACACAAACAAAAACAAAATGTGGGATGCGAGATGAGTTTTGGTCCTCCCTGCGATGGATAGGGGCTGCACGCCGGACTTGGTCCCAACCGGGGTGGAAGATGCACTATATGGGGACAGAGGGGATTCAAATGTCGAATGTCGAAGGCCGAAGCGGAGGTATATAGATGTCGAGGAAATTTCGGAAGTCGCTGCTATCGACGGGATTGAGCTGGAAGGTGTGCTGAAGGGGCAGGCTGAGTGTATGCCGGGAGAGCGGAACCATGATATACCCGACAGCATCAATAGCTGTTCTTCCTGCGGCACGTACGAGACCACACCACAAGAGCACACGGCAAACCGACAAAAAACTCCCAACCCACCCACCCCCACAACTCAGCTCAACTCTACCACGCATTCCGATCCCAATTCGGATCTGTTCCCACAAATCAGCAAACCAGTTTCACACACACAACCCCACCATCCGTAACCATATACGAAAATACATACCCTGCACAAAACTCGCCAGCACCTTACTCCCTGTCTGCAGCAGCGGATGGCCGGCCACGATCTGCAGAAACCGCTGCAACCCCTCGCGCCGGTGCTCGATCACGTCGTCGCTGAACCGGTTCGTGAACACCTTCCCCGGCAGCGGGGGGATGGTGACGCGCGTGCTCTCGCGCTCCAGGATGTCGCGGAAGTACTCGAAGTCGGAGTAGCGGCGGCGCACGACCGAGTGCTTGAGCTTGAAAGCGGGGATGTTGGTGCGGCACACGATCTCGTACGAGGTGTACATGTTGCGCGAGGTGCCGTGGGTTTGAGGGTTTCGGACCTGTGTTTTGGGGGGTTGAGACTTAGTTGAGATGGGAGAATTGGGATTGAGTAGGTGGTGAATGAATGTAGTAGGCTTTGGGAGGTATGGCATGGTGTTCTTGTGTCTCGATGGCAGCAAAGCGTACCTCAATCTCCAGGAAATTCTCCGGAGGTCCGTAGATCTCGTCGAAGGTTTGTTGACGGGATTCGGGAACGGCCTGCATGGTGGATGGATTGTATCTCGTGGAAATTTGTCGCAAATGATAACAACGACAACAAAACAAAGCGAGTGTGCGTGCGCTTGTGCGTGGACGTGGACGTGGACGTGGGCGTGGGCGTGGGCTGGGCGGACTCCGGGCTGGTGTCAAGTGGGCAGGGAGCGGAGGGGAGATTCCAAGGACCGCGGGGGAAACGCTGGCGATTGTTTGTATGAGGTCGGATCCCGAAAGATACTGACAAGACACTACTCGGTCAGGATTGTTCGGTCGGCTTAAAGTCAACGAGTGTCGCGTGCCGCTGTCTTCATGGACCAGACCAGCAAGTTGCAGCTTTTTGGTGGGGATCGGAGAAGGGAGAAGAGATGACGACGAGGTGAGGGACGGACAGAACCGATAAGGCGGGCGGGTGGGATTAATCTAGTTTAGCTTCAACTCGGCATCTTGACTTCAATCACTTCCCCGGGCCTTTGTTTATCCTATCCGCTGTCAAGATTCTGTACACAACAAGACCACATACATAGCACCCATTCCATTGCTCATTACAGCTTGGTCATCTAACCAGACAACAGACAACAGACAAATAGATGATACAAGATTCCCTTTGATTGGTCTAAAACACCGTAAACACGATGCCCTCATGAACAACAGAAACACAAGCAAAGAAACAAATGCCAATTTCCCCATATGAACCGTTTGCAGCAAGCCAGAAAACATGAACCCCGACGTGGACGAAAGTAAGAAAGCACATGTGATACATAAATACTACCAGTGATCGAAGGCCCGTGACCACCCAGGGCCACGGACATGAAGCAGTTAGAAAAAAGAAGCCCGGTTGAGAGGGAAATGAAAGGCCAACGGTAAGGATATCACTCCTGTCGGCTGCGCTTGGCGCCGTGGGGATTCCATGACCCATCGCCGCCTTGAGCGTTGGGGAAGAAGCCCTGGTTGAATGCTGGATTGGGGCCTTGGAAACCGCCTTGTCCTAGTAAGAATTCCCCCGGTCAATAAGGTTACGCAAGCACACCAGTCAAGAACTTCGAGACATACCCTGCATACCCATATTTCCACCCATTCCGCCCATCATCGGATTCATTCCCCCGGACATCGGGTTCATCCCCATGGCGCCCATAGGATTCATGGCCGGCATACCCATCATGTTGGCACCCGCCATGCCGCCGCCCCGGCCGCGCATGCCACCGGGGCCGCCACGCATGGCACCACCCATCATCCCACCGCGGTTGTTGAACCCAAAGTTCTGCATCCCCATCGGGTTGTTCTGCTGGAAGCCTCCGACCATCGGCTGCTGGAAGCCACCCATGGGACCCTGGAAGTTGCGGTTCCCGCCAAAGCTGTTCATGTTGTTCATGCCACCCCGGTTGTTGAACCCGCCCCGGCCGCCTCGGAAGCCACCACCCATGTTGTTCATCCCGAAGTTCATGTTTTGGTTGGAAGAGTTGAAGCCGCCGGACATCGATCGCGACTGGTTGTCCTTGCGCATGGGCGCATCCTTGGGCAATGTGCGGAAAGGGTTGGGCTGGGGACTGGTATAGACGACCATGTGCTTGCGTCCGGCCTGCCCCGACGTGGCGAACGACTCGATCTTGTGTTTCACGGCAGTGGCCGCCTGGAGTGTCGTGAACTCAACGAATGCTTGTCTAGAAGAGGATCAGTATCAGTGCCATCCCCAAGGACCTAGTCATAGAGGCAAGCCTACCCTTTGCTTTTACCGTTCACCTTGTGCTCGCTGAAAGTCACGTCCTTCAACTCATCCTCGCTGCCGGCCTGAGCCACCCAGCCGCGAATGTCATCGTCCGTGGTCCACCAGTACAGATCCGAGATGAGAAGAGCAGGTGTCGCATCGGGATCCGTCGGACGATCATCGTGTTCCTTGCGCTTAACACCTTGCTGGGGAACCGGAGCGTGGGTCTGCTGGGGGGCGGCTGTTCCATGTGCTACGCTCTCGGTGCTGCTGGGCGCAGCCCCTTCACTTTCCTGCTTCAGGGTTCCTTCCGATGAGCCATCGCCCTGAGCGACGCTGTTATTCTGCGTGGCGTCCGACGCGTCTAGAATGAGCTCCGTGTCCTCGTGCTTGATGTCATCGCCCTGGTCGTTAGCATTGTAGCTCCCGCCGTCGCCATAGATGTCAATGTCGAAGTTATCATCCTCAGTGGCCATTGTGATTTAGTTATGACTCGGTCTTCTTGCTCTCAAGGCAGTTTCTTGATTTGGTTTGCGTGAGGGAAGATACAGTTTCTGGTTTTTTTTTTCTCTTTCTTCTTGGCTTTCAGTTTCGGGGAATCAAGTGAAAATACATGTCTGCAGACACACCAGGTCAATTAGCAAAAGGAAGATTGATCGAACGGTGATCGGACGGTGCGAATACTGGAGAAGCCGCGGCGGCAGCTGGGTCATTTGTCGCCCAGAAAGAAGATCCATGTTTTCAACACTCTTAAAAACAACACGGGGGGTGCAGGGCGGCAATTATGTCCGACAGGAAACAAGAAAAAAAAAGGCTCGATAATACGTACAATTGTGAAGCAAAGGCAGCTTCAAAGAGAACACACAGGTCTTTTCACCAACGTCCGAGTGGAAGTTGATTTGTGTCTGATAAACAGAGGTAGTGCTTCTTTGCCTTCCGAGTGATTGCAAGTACAGGTAGTGTGTGCGATAAGAGAGAACCTCTTGTGTCCAAATGGAACAACAAAAACTGAGAAAAGCGAGAAATGAAGAGGACGAGGGGGAATGAAGAAGGAGGGTGTGAGGTTTATTTCCACAGATGCGGCGCTGAGACGTGCTGCTACCACAGAATGTAGCTCAACCTTTAGCTATCAATGAACAGGTTCCACTGTTCCGATGAGAGCATACAAAAGACAAGGTTCGAGCTGATACTTGTGTTAGTGACACGCTGTGAGATCTGGAGTCAATCTGCCTGAACACGATGATGTGAGTCAGGAGGAAGCCCGAAACAAACTGCGCGTGAGCCTAGCACAAAGGTGGTGGTCCCTTGGTGTTGTTGCGCACCAGGTTGATAGGGTAGTCACAGGGTGGCGAGAGGGCGAGATAAAAGAAAGAAGAAGGGGGGGGGGCGATTCAAGAGGGGGAAAGAACTAAGAGATAAAAGAATAAGGCAAGAGAAGAAGAGTCCTTGAGACGTGTCCAAAGAAGGGTTGCAGGTGGAGCGCGCGCGATAGATGGAAGAAGTACGAAGTAGGAGGGAGGAGGGAGGAGGGAGACTCGGAGAGAGAGAGGAAAGAGAGGGAAGGAAGGCTGCTGCTGCTACTGCTGCTGCTGCTACTGCTACTGCTGTGCTTGCTTGTTGCTCGGCTTGTTGCTTGGTTGGAACTGCGGGCGGTCTCGAAGGTGCAGAAGTGGAGCTTTCCCAGCCCCGGAGCGGCAGATGTATAACTCCGCCCGCGGACAGACCACACGGTGGCACACACTCCCCAGACTCGAACTCCCTCCTCGAGTCCTTGAGTCCTCGGGTCCTCACATCTGTCGATCGCATTGGCTTTGGAAATTATATCTGTTGCTAGATTTTTGTTTTTGTTTTTTTCAATTTGTTATCATCTAACACTGGTGCAGAGCTTAAAAAGTACATTCTTGGCATCCTATCGCCTCAATCTGGTCAATATAATATATAGCAAGCTGGACTATCACTGCTCAGAGCATTCTATCTGGGACTCGTGGAATACGTGTCGAAGCACACTAAATTTCCAAAACAATCTCACGCGCTCCGAAATCAGATGAAACAACGCCTTTTAGTGAGCAACTTCAGACTCGCGGAGTGCGCTCGCCTGCTTCTGTATAATATACCTTCAGATGATTTACCATAATTCGTACGCGAGTTCGTCATCCAGCGGAGATCTGTGAACAGGCCGACTGCGAGACATCGCTGCCATCGTCTGCTTGAAATCATCATACTCAGGCACGGGATTCAACTTGCTGTCGTAATTGCGTGCTAATGGAGGGGTCCCTTCGTCGGATGTGGCGCCATCGTTCCAGGTGTGCAAGGTGCAAGTCCCAGTGGACAGACCCCAGCCATTCCACGACGTCGCTGGAAAGGCACGGTTAGCTTGGTTCCCAACCGGTCATAGACATCAATGCATGAACTTGGAACTTACCCGCCACAGCTGGGCAGCTCGGATGCCAGCTCGCGTCCCGCACGCATGTCTTCCACAGCACATCGCTCCGGCTGCTACGTATCTCATATGCAGCAGTCGACATGTCGGGATCCAGCGGGCGCGAATTGTGAGTGGCTTGCCCTACGTCAATCGTCCCCGCCAGCGTCGCATCCATGTTATACACGTACACCTTGCCGTCCTCGCTTCCGCTATATACGTATCGGGAGTTGGTGCTGTTGGGCGGCGAGAAATGACACCGGATCAGAGTTTTGAGGACCCGATGACCACGGTAGGTGACAACCGAACAATCGTGAGGATGAGGTTCGTAGTAGTCATCGGGGTAGGATTCAAACCGGTAGTCGAATCCCGTGGTAAATGTGTTGAGATCGATCGAGTCAAACTTCGCCGTGGTCATCATTTTTCGCAGATCCCAGAGCTTCATCGTCTGGTCCTTGCCGTTCGACAGTACGTATCGTCCGTCCCCCTTGCTGTCAACGTATGTCAATCCTTCCGTATGTCCCATAAATACACCAGCTTCGCGCCCGTCGCCCATCGAACGTCTGTCCCAAACCCGCAAAGTCGTGTCATCGGATCCGGAATAAATGATATGGGGCGAAGACTGGTCACCAAAGCAAACGGCATTCACATCATCGTCGTGATTCTGTAACCGCAACACCGACTGTCGTGTTTCAAGGTCATAGACAATGACGGATTGATCGGAAGTGCCAGCCACGATCTCGCGACCGTCGCCTGAGAATCGAATCGACCAGATCTATGGCAATTTGAGTACAATACAATCTCATCAACGGGCAGTGTCATTCAAGCTTACACCAAAGTGAGAGTTCCCACCAAAACGCATCCTTCGTCTTCCGGGTATCGAGGATAGATCCAGGACAGCCGGCTCAGACTCATCAGCCGGATCCGTGGGCGCCAGGCAAACGAGATTCCGAATCGACGTATATGCCAGGAACTTGTTGTCCGGACTCAGGCTCGCGTCGGTGATAGTCCATTGCCCGAATGGATACGTCACAGTCTTGTAGTACTTCCAGTTGAAGGGGTTGGAAGTGTCGTACATGCGCACTTTGAAATCCTGGGCACAGCAGAAGAAGAAGTTGCCATCGTCGGAAAACTGGCCTGAGTAGCAGCGAGAGTCAAAATGGATGACTTTGTCCGCCACTGAGCTGGGAATTAGCCCCTATACTCCGAAGGTTAACATGTAAACAGAATGTCTTGTGTGGTATCCAGGAAGGAATACGAACCTGCGCCATCAATCGGATATCCTGCCTATTTGTTCCCGTCAAGTTCACCCCGAGTTCCCGCCACATGATCTTCGAAGCAAGCGCCTGGTTTCGTCGCTGGCGTCGATCAACGTAATTTGTATTGCGTCCAAAGTCGCCCGATCTCATCAAATCCTGGCCCTCGTCGCTGGGAACCTTGGGGAATTTGCTTTGGCCGGATCGCCGTGCTCGCCGACGGTAGCCAAAGAAGCCAAACTCGTAGTCGTCATCTTCCTCCTCCCCGGGGGAGGTCTCATGCAGCCCGTTGTAGTGCAAGATGTGCCGCAAGCCGTTGGACGCCAACAAATTCAGCAACCGAGCTGCAGATACTGTAACCATGAGTTCAACGAATCAATGAGCCACAGATCAGATCGTGTTACCTCTATTCTGTCGTACCCTCTGAGTCTCTCCACCATTCCCGTTCTGGCCTGGCTCGTCCATGGCGAATTCAATCTCTATATTTCCCAGATGTAATTCAGGATCTAAGATGCAACGAGGCAGAAAAGCAAGCACAAGTCAGTCGTATAATCCAAAACAATACATTCCCAAGCTCAATGAGCTGGCACACAAATCAAACTAAAAGACCTTGGGGGGGGGGGGGAACAGTACTGAGATTAGCACCATCGATATCGATGTGGTCTAGGTCGTCGTCGTTATCTTCGTCGTCATACGGCTCAATATCGGAATCGTCGTCGTCTCTTTCGTCAGTTTCATTGGGCTCATAGTCCATATCCTCATACTCGTCGTCTTCTTCTTCGTCTTCCTCAAGCCATTCCCGAGCCGGATGCCACCCTGAATCCGATGCTCCTTGGTGAGAGGGAGGAGAAGATCCCGGAGGGCCGCCGCCAGCAGCGGGGGGCAAGCCAGATGAACTCATTATCAGCCACACGGGTGAGAGGGTCGTGGTGCAAACAGTGTGAATTCAGCAAGGGTCATAGCAGACACCCTGCCAATTGAACGGGTAATCCGTCACTGCAGAGCAAGACCAGCCACGAGGTTCCAATTGGCCAGCAAGTTGGTTTAGTGATTTTTGAGGGCAGGCCGCGCTTTGCCCCATGCTTCTGGAGAGAAAGAGGGGGATGTTGTTTGCTCATTGCTGACTGACGCTTATCGATAGGGCGGATCCTCGGATATGGTTATGTCATCTCTCTCGGGTGGAGATTGCCGGTTAACTCCTATCCCCGCAGGCCCGTCCATCCACCCAGTAAGGGGTGAATCTACTCTTCCTTCTAAGTAATATGTTTTGACTAGTATCCGTTCAGGATTTCGATTTGTTACATGAAGACAAGAGAGAACTATCACTATCTGCAAAGGTATCTTAGTGGTGGAACATAATAAACATGCATAGTACGACAAGCGGATAGATGCAGGTGAAAAAGAAGCGGCGCATGACAATACCAATCGTAACCCTTTCCGAAGCATCACGAAGCAGCATTGGCAGGAATTGTTGTCAATATTAGCTCTGTAGCCGAAGAGTAATTGGGCTGCCGCTGAGAATGATATAGATATACGACCACATTAACAGCATCAATTCTACCTGCCCTTCAGTATCGGGGACGATAGTTGCGATCCAAGAGGAGACGATATTCACCATCGCAAAAGTGTCCAACGCTATGACAGCGTCGAACAGCGGGGGGACCACATCATCCGGGCTTGCTAGCTCAGGTAAAGTGCATGAAATCGAACGAGCGACGACCTTAGCGGTACGAGTACCGTCAGTCAAACACTTCCTCTTGGACCGTTGTTTGATGGCCATCGCGTGGAGTGCAAGAAGTTCAACAACTATGTGGAGCCGTGCTCGCAACATTGAAGTGCCTTTCTTCTTATCAGCTCGTTTCCTGGCCAATTGAGGAAGACGCGTCTTCTGTGTAGACGGCTTGCACGGCCATCCTAAGGAGCGACGAGTGACATCCACATCCATCGATTCGATCAGGGTGCCTTGTTCGATCCCTCTTTCTGTGGAACAGTGAGCACATGAGCCACTTCATGGTCTATACGCGTGAAAGGCTAGGTGTACAAGAAACATACCATAGAGGATCATTCCAGACACAGAGCTGTACATCACACGCAGCACCGCGTGGTCCAGATGACTGATTGATAGTGTCTTCTCATGTGGCATGCATGAGTCCGAGTTGCAAAATTCAGTCTTTTCTTGATCCAAAGATACCAGCCTTTGACTGAAAACCGTGAAAGACCTTGTTACTTGGCCTGCGCGGCACTGATGTAGTCTAGTCTGTGCTTCGGGTGTCGATTGATCTTGCACCTTTGCTGGTAGGCATCTTGCCGGGGCGTGCAAGACAACTGCGGGTTCTTTCCCGGAAGGGTCTTTCGTCGAAATCACCACATTGGTATCAATTGAAAGCATTGGCATTAGAGTAGACCGCGATCTTGTGGTGCAAGGACTGTGGCTTTCGCTATCTAGCTTGGTTCGGCTGTGAAATGGAGGAATTGTGAGCTTACGGTGCAGCAAGGAGACTTCATAAGGTCGGCATTCTTCGGGAATACTAGAAGCACCCGTAGCGCGAGGAGGATCAGAGTAATCATTCCCAATATTTGTCGATGGCAGTGACCAAGTCGTATCGGTGACGGAGTGTGTCAGGGCATCCTGTCTATTCACACGAGGAGCCCGGTGACGGCCCCGCCAGATCTCTGCTTTTTGGAGACCTGCATTGTTGCAGGTCCGATCTGCACATTGATGACATTTTCCGGAAAGCGGTTTTGATCGTCGACATTGAGAGCAATTGTCAAAGACATGTCCACAGGTGGTGCACTTCTTCTCGGCCTGAACCTTCTTTGGCTCTTGGTGGAGCTCTCCTTGACCTCTAGCGAGAAATCTTTTCTGTGGCGATTCTTGTGAGTGGGGTCTTCTTTTATGTTTCTCAAGCCCAGAGATGTTGGTGTGAGATTTGTGGATCTCAGAGACAGTTCCCTCATTGTGTTGGGCACGTGTGGCTGGATTGGTTACATTCGTCACCGACCAATGCTGACTTGTTAGACTTGTTGGTCCGGCACATGTCCTTTCTTCGGAACGCGGCCCTTCAACTTCTGCAAGATGTGATGGTCCATAATCAGAGACCACACCGGAGTTTGGGCCCGTCAGAGTCGCTGGCGCGGGGTCGTTTATACCATGTGTCGCTTGATGTGTATGCTGTTTATAGTGATATCCCGTGCTGAAAAAGGTCGAGCCCGTATGTGTGCCGTTCCCAGAGGGGGACTGGCCATTGTTCGCCCCAAGGCCACTGCCAGGGAATTGGAAATTATTGAAGCCAGAGCCACCACTGCCCTGTCCACGGTCGTCGCTGTTCCGGCGACTCTGACTAGCGCTGGTGCTTGCCGAGCCAGCTCCTGCCACCTGACAATGCCCACACACGCACTTAAAGTACTCATCCCAGGAGCCAACAACATTCTGACACAGCGGGCAGACACTAGGTGGGGGCAGCTTAGTCTCAACTATGTTGATTTGCTCGCGAGTGGCCCGCCATTGGAATCCGTGATTGTGTCTCAAGTGCGAATGCACCTTGTCCTTCCTCCTCGTCGTCCAAAGGCACTTGTCATCGAGACAACGATAGATAGACCGTGGGGCATGCTCATAGGCAACATGACGTCTGAAGGAGGCCCGCGTGTTGTAGAACTTACGCTGTCCACTAGGGCAAAGCCAGCAGCAGAATTTGCTTGTTCTTGGACCGGTATCTGCCAATCTCTCGAATATTTCAATTTGTTGCTGAATCATACCGTTCAGTCTGTGCCAGATAACTTGCAGGAAGTCTTTGGCATCATGTAGCTGAGGGATCTGGCGTTGCAAGACGTTGTTCTGAACTATGTGGATGAGATGTTCCACGGCAAGCCTGAACTCATCCCGACATACATCGCTCGATGTCTGAGGCGCAGGCGCAGGCGCAAAGTATAGCGGATCAAACCCAGTATCTTCAATGTCTGTATTTGTTAAAGGGTTCGCGTTGTCAAACAAAGCTTGATTACCAGCTAGAGGATTGATGGAGTGGTCGTAGATGAGAGGAATGTCTAACCCATGACGAATGGCATCTTCCGTAGGACTAATACTGATCGAAGGAGATCCGAGAGAGGGAATCGACGAGGGGCTTTGCTGCTGAACACTGAAGTTAGATTAGGTATGGGTAGAAAGGTCTACTTGGGATAACAAACTAAAGAATGTATTCCAGATGGTCCGGAGGGTCCAGTAGGAATAAGTTGACTATGGTCTAGATGATGTTGGTAATCAGGATAAGTGAAACGTATATGGGCCGCATCGTTGTTGCTCGAATCGTCGTTCATGTCCACACAGAAGGCTGTTGGCGCAAGACAGACTAGTGAATCTGAGTTAGAGAGGTCAATGAGGCGCCCTGTGAGACGGGAAGTTTGGAAAAGATTTGAATGGGAGATGGAGCAAGGCTTGTATTGATGAAATTAAGCGGTACCTGGCTCTTCACAAGCACCGAAAGGTCAGGAGTATAGTAAGACAAAGGTAGCCGACTCAAATGGGAATGCTATATTGAGCACACACAGTCCAAGCCAGCTAGAATAGATCGAGGATCTCAAAAGAATATAGAATTTTGGGAGGATAGCATATCCTATATAAGGCATCACTGTTCCTAGCAGGCCGTGTCAGGTATCATATCATTCGAACTCAACACTTGTCTCTCCCCCCAAATAGCGGTATGTAGATTATCCCTTAAAGAAAAGTCGAAATGCCATGACGTTGCGTGGCTAATTTCAAGCGGACAATTAATCTCAGTCCTTTAGCCCAGGGCCATCTCGGAGCCTTGCCCGCAGCGACGCCCGCTGGTGACCATTTGAGGAGAGCAATATGCAGGTTAACAGGCAGACATTCGTACCCCTGCTCAAACGTTGCCTAGACGTTTCTAAAAGATAAAAAAGCATGAAAAAAAAGAAAAGAAGTAATCGGCTTTGTAATGCTTACACTAATGGTTGATCGTCGCCAGGTACACATGCGGACCTTCGTGCAGAGTTAAGCTATCCATTCAGAAAAATTAAATGATGAATTGTTTAAACACACTTGGTTTCTAATTAGTGAGCTTGGCGCATAGTTGAAGACAGCCATTGTAGTCCCTAAGAGCAGTGCAACAATATCTAGATCCTTGTGATACCCGGGCAAATGCAGGTTGCAGGAGATGGGCGGTGTTACAATCACCATACTTTGCATGAGCTCTGATCGGAAATCAAAGAAGCACCGTGCGGCACAATTGTAGTACCCAATCAAAGAGGCAGAGCACAATCCAAATGCTTACACTGAGGGCCCAGACAACATATCCGGGACTGTGCAAAAGCTCCTATCAGAAAGTGAGGCGTTCAGGATCCGAGATCGAATTCACAGAGTGCCCTGAGCCTAAGCACCGCTTCACTGTCGTACCTGGGTCCAGAAAACCTTGGAACTCAAGTCAACTGATTGAGAAAGGCTGAAAGGTTGAGAAGAAGGTCACAAGTCTCGGACTCTTTCAGCTGGAGTGTCCGACGCCCCATCGTGCTGTGAAAGAGCGCTACTAGTACTTTAGACACTGCTGCGCCACTGATAACTGCTGCATAGTACCTCTGGCCAGAAATGACAATTACCAGCAATCAAGCGTAGACCTAGAATCAACCCCCAGGACATCATAGATGCTTACAGTCATAACGTAAGTCAGGATAAAGTAGTGGAGCAGACGGAAGACCCAAAACCTTCTGTCATACATAACAGCTTGTTGCAAGTGTGATGACAGCAGCAAGCTTTGACAGGTAAGCCTTTTTTTCTCTTGGACCTCCGACCTGCACGAGCAATGAAAAAGGAAAATGGTGTTCAAGAGCCTCCTCTTTTCATTTTTTTTTTTTCATTTTTTTTTTTTTGGTTTCTCTTTCCCCTTTGCGCCTCGGCCTTTGCTTTTCCGCTTTCCTTTCTTCCTGATTCGTACGGCTCCCACGAGCCTCATGACAAGGCACCGATTGTTTGCTTCAATGGCGCTAGCAAGGGATGTTATTGCAACCCAAGGCAGATTTTCCTAGTCTTTTGGTCCGACATGATTCATGTCAGCTGGGATGGAACCTGCACCGGCAATGATGTCAAGCCACCTGTGGCTGTGCAGCCGTCCAGGTCGTTCCGCCGTTCCCTTCTCTTCCCTTCCCGTCCCGTCCCTTCCCTCTCCCCCGAAACCTGGTGCATGAGACTACAATCGGTTCCTGATGACATCGTGGCTATGAGACCACTCTGTTGGCTCCAACAGTATAGCTACCATGCTCCTTTGACCTGATTCGTGCTCAACTCTCCGACGGAAGTATCCTAACCTACTTTGTTATCGACAACTCACCGAAGAAAGAATGGAATGATAAGCCGCACCATGCAAGAGGTAAGTGAGGCTGGTTCTCAGCCACATTCGTAAAGTCCTCGACCCCGAGCCAACATGTCTGCACACCATTGCAAATACCTTCGGGCCAAGCGTGATGATGCGATGTAACACTCATGGAGGCTTGTCGGGCATGCAGGTCCGGGCAGCTGTCACGGCAAGAGCAGTCAAAATGGGCAGGAGGCTGTGGGGTGTTGAAAAGTCGAGATAATCGCTAAGCCATGGGAGGAATTTGTTTATCCATTCAGTAATCTCACTTGGGAATTGCCAGCTGACTAACCAGAAAGCATGGTAAAGCTGCGAAGAATGGTAAAGTAGCATATGAGAAAAGCCTGTATACAATCCTAAGCCATATCGTTTGGTCTCTGAAGCGCATAAATGATGCCCTATCCCATTGGCTTGTTCGCTTCAGTACGGCATCTTGAAGGCCTAGAAAGACGAACAGGAAGTCTCGTCGGTCCGAACCCTCGAGTTGTACGGGCATTCTGGAAATAATTACGCACACTGTGTCGCATAGCATAGGACTCCTCGTCAACCTGTTTAATGTCTATCAAGCAGAGGACCTAAGCTGTCTGCCCGGAAAACTTCAAAGACTGCAAACAGTGGGGTGGTACAATTTGTTAGAACGCAGGGGTAGGACATGTTGCTAGAAACGATTCTCAATTGAAAGATGGTACAATGATCCAGGTGATGTTCTACATTGTCTTCATTGTAGAGGGTGTGGTATATACACAGATCCTCGCCCGTCCGGTAAATCAAAGACCAGTCGTTTAGTGGGGGTGGTTCTTGTGGTGACCTGCTCTGAAATTAGCGCTCTTGTATCGCACACTGTCAATGAGTTTAGGAAACATACGGAGGTGGAAGTAGTACTCCATGCTGTAGCCGAGGAGAAGGATACCGGCAATGGCGTGGATGAAGGCTATATGCCATGCGGCGTCAGTTTGATGTATCGTACAACAGAGGGTGAGTGGTCACTAACGAGTAGCAGACTGGTTCTTTCCGGTGAAGTAGCGAGCCTGGTAGCGTCCAATGAGGCCAGTGGCCTTGACCTCAGGGGCGGGACCGCGAGGAAGTCTGGCGTAGAAGTTCACAACACGGTCCATGCGGGCAGCATCCTTGGCAGCACCGATCGCCTTTTCAATTTGTTAGCTTGGGTGATAGGGAAACGGTAGGTGTGCGGGTTGTTCAGCCGAGGTGACCAGAGCAGAAAGAGATTGCTTCCGGAGGCTGCATCTCAGAAGGAAGGCAGACAACACGACGGTAGGAATTCTCACATTAGGGGAAGCGATCTAAGCAACTATTAGCATTCAATTTGCCCAGGTATCATGTTGTTCTCAGATTGTGCTGGAGTCGGGTCTTACCTTGGGAGGGATCAGGGTCGAAAGACCGCGGCGGGCGATGTAGCTCATCTTGAAGGATCTATCCAAAGGTCACATCAGTAAAAAAGTTCAATCCATACCAGGAGACGTGAGATAAACAATGGGTCGGTCTCGGAACAGTCGACTTACCTTGACGCTAGCAGGTTAACTAGGACAATGAATACTGACGGGGAGAAGAGAGAAGTGCCAACAGAAAGCGGGTTGTCGGATGAGCGGTTCCTAACGCAGGGAGCCTCATTATCGCGCTAGTCCTAATTCGGATTTGTCTGAACAACCGGCACTCGCCGCATACCTCACCTTGCAATTGTCCTCCCGCAGCTGCTCCTCTACCTGTCCCCTCCACAGACCACACACACACATATACCCATCATGTCGCTTGCGAGAGTAGGAAGGTTCGCCTGCCTCCGCGCTGGCAGGCTCGCCGCTCCTGTCAATGCCCGTTTTGTGTCGACCGCCGACGGCTCCGTCCAGACCAGCCCTGCTGATGCCCCGACCATCCCTCACAAAGACAGCACATTGATCCGCAAGGAGAGTCCTTCGCAGGCAATGGCCCGTCACCAGCCCGATTACGAGGCCACCATTGACCACGCTACTTCGTGAGATCTCTTCCGTGGCGATCTGGGGAACTTGCGTCAACTGACGACAATCCAGGCAATTCTCCCCCGTGCCCAAGCGTGTCATGGATGGCAGCGAGCCTGGTGACACCGTCGCCGCTGCTGTTCTGTCCGGCGCTCCCACCGATCTGCAGGCTCGTACCGTCCGGTGAGTAAGGTCGTCGGTCGCCGTGCTCCAGCGCACTAATTGGATACAGGATCTACCGCCCTACGAAGCCCGCTACTCAGTCTGGAACCTGGCACGGTCACCACTGGAGAATGGATTGGGATATCTTGCAGAAGGGTCACCGGTGGGAGAACCCTCTGATGGGCTGGCAATCTTCCGCCGACTGCATGCAGGGTACCAACCTCAAGTTCAAGACCAAGGAGGACGCCATCCTGTTTGCGCAGAAGCAAGGTTACGAGTACTTCGTTCAGGAGCCCAATGAGCGCCGGTTCGTTCCCAAGTCGTACTCCAACAACTTCCTCCACGAGCCGAAGAAGCTCAAGCACATCAAGACCAAATAAATTGAGTTATTCTTCGCGTCTCGTGTACATAAGTGCAGGCTTTTGTTCTAGTTCTGAATCATGCTTGGAGGTTAATTACATTGTTTTCAACACTTCAACCTCCTCACACTTTCAAGTCCATGGCTTGTTTTCGTCACCGAAAAGGTGTTTGCATCACTAGAGGTGGCTTCCAGAAGGCGGTGATTGACATGGCACCTACTCATGGATCAGGCTAAGATACAGCCTTTTCAGCGGTTCCCTCATGGTACATATGCTACGGAGATTCGAACAACCAGATGCTATAGGCTCACTTGGGTCACATCAGCATCTCAGTCTGAAAACCTTTTTCTCCGTATGCTGGCTCATGCCCCAGCTTACCATTTTTGTCTCTGCTCGTGCTACAATTCCTTTGTACCCCCAGTGCTTTATTGCGAGCTACTGCATTGCATTGATCTTAATACGTAACAGCAGTCTGACTAGGTCCCAAAAATAGATACCAACACATGAGTCTCTTAGCCGCACATGAGTTCCTCAAAGTTATATGTATGAGACGGAAGATATCA